ATCTATCTATCTATCTATCTATCTATCTATCTATCTATCTATCTATCTATCTATCTATCTATCTATCTATCTATCTATCTATCCTATTGCTTATTCTGTTTAAGTTTATCAGAAACTTCTGTAAATCTTAAGTCAGTTTTATTCAAGTATTCTGAGTGCAGATTTGACTCTGTTTAGCCACAGAGCCGATCTGGTTCAGAGGTGGAATTTAGTCTGGAGGTCTTAACTCATATAAAAATATGACTAAATGAATGAAGGATGTTTTATCTGAGCATACGGCTTAATGATAATAATGCACTCAAGTATTATTGTTCAAAAGGAGATGACATAACACAAACACTAATTTATCATAATTGCCTTTCTTCAACATTCAATCATTCACAATTTTAGTTGACTTATTTTCTTTTATCTCAGAACAATATTGAAATAGTTTCATTGTGTCAAGGCCAAAAATAGACCTAGAATGAAAATGGACATAAAGAGTAAACTAAAATACTTTATTATATAACAAAAAACAAAACGCTTGTGTGGCTTACAAAAAAATAAAAATCAGGTAGACACAAAGAGATCAAAGAGTGGAACACAAAGAATAAAAAGAGACTGGTGCAAAAACCATTGAGAGGTGGAGATGGAAAGAGACTGACTGGAGAAACATGAGCTGAATGGGGCTYGGGAACAGGTGAGCGTGGGCGAGGCCAAGGTGAGGGAGAGTGAAAGATCTGATGACACAGAGGAGCACAGGGAGCTAAAAATAAAAAAACAAGTAAATAAACACAAAAATCACAAAACATGAACAATCCCAAGAAAAAAATTTAAACACAAACCCACAAAAACAGATCTTGACACCTTGTGRCTTTACTAGGACAATTACATTTATACAAACTTACTTATGAAAAAACAGCTGACTAATTGTTAAAAACAGGGAAATTTACTGAATCTTTTATACACCAGAACCTTCAGCCTATTTTGTCAAGCTTTAAGGATTTGCTTACAGAGCTGTCCATGGTGCTGAAACTCAGCCTCCGCAACGCTGCACCATCCATCCATAATACACCTAATCCAAACAYATTTCTAAGCTGCCATATTTTAACACCTTGTTTAATTTATTGAAACTTGTGTGATTTATCAGGCTTGTACTTTTCTGTTTGTTTTGAAAGAATGGTCTAGTATAAGAGAAATTCCTTGGACCGCTGTTGAACACAGGTGGTTGTTTGCCCTCCAACGATGCCCGACTGGAGGTCAGAGCTCATCCATCCTCTGCGCAGACTGTTTCTGAACCGGTGAGTCACATTCACACTCTGATCGGGGGG